CGTCTCTGTCCACATTACTACAGATAAAGAAAAAAGTTGGGCCGGGCGCGGTGGCTCACGCCTGTAATCCTAGCTCTCTGGGAGGCCGAGGTGGGTGGATTGTTTGAGCTCAGGAGTTCGAAACCAGCCTGAGCAAGAGCGAGACCCCATCTCTACTAAAAATAGAAAGAAATTAATTGGACAACTAAAAATATATAGAAAAAATTAGCTGGGCATGGTGGTGCATGCCTGTAGTCCCAGCTACTTGGGAGGCTGAGGCAGGAGGATTGCTTGAGCCCAGGAGTTTGAGGTTGCTGTGAGCGAGGATGACACCATGGCACTCTAGCCCAGGCAACACGGTGAGACTCTGTCTCAAAAAAAAAAAAAAAGAAAAAAGTTGGTTTCTCATAAAGAATTTTCTATAAATAGGAGATCAAGTTAGATTACCTTTGCCTTCACTGATTTTAACTTGTGAAGTTGGAGGTTCTTATCTGGCCTCTTGACTTCCCAGTGATGTTGCAAGTGATCTCTTGTGGTAAGTGTAAGGAGACCTAGGAGGAAAAGCTGTGATGGCGAGCCAGTTGGGATGAATTAAAAGATGAACAGCATGGAAAGCCAACCTATCTCACTTGTATTGCAGCATTGATTCTTTAAGTGAGTTCTACTTTTCCTGTGAATGTGATTGTGATTGGCTTTGTTTAAACACTAAATTTAAGCTCATTTGGTTCTTTTGGAGTGGCAATTCCAGTAAATAAATAAAACTTTATCTCATATATATATATAGAGAGAGAGAGAGAGAGAGAGAGAAAGAAGGTCTTTCTTCCTGTCTTTCTTTCTACAGTTCTATATTTCTGTTCCTTCCCTTCATACTACAATTTTTAATTCATCTGTAAATCTAATCAAGGCTTAATTTTTATTCTAAGGAATATTCTTAGCTCTTCATTTCCCCAATATTTCTATGGTAGCAATTATAACACTTGATTAAAATTATTTCAGGCCCAGTGCAGTAGCTCACTCTTATAATCCCTGCACTTTGGGAGGGCCAAGGCCTCTGGATTGCTTGAGGCCAAGAGTTCACGACCAGCCTGAACAATATAGTGAGACCCCATCTCTACCAAAAGAAAAAAATTAGCCAAACATGGTCACACAGGCCTGTAGTCCTAGCTACTCAAGATTGCTTCAGCCCAGGAGCTCGAGGTTACAGTGAGCTGTGGTCATGCCACTATACTCTAGCCTGGGTGACAGAGCAAGATCCTGTCTCTTAAAAAAAAAAGATTTATTTCAGTTTGAGTGTGCATGTACACATACACACTCCTTAATCTCAAGTATGATTTATTCATACTACCACCATTTTGGGGTGTCTGATTGTATACCAGGTATATACATTATGCTCAGAATACAAAAAAGAAAGACAGGAAGCCTGTTAGGGAGCTTAAGTTCGGAAACTGGTTAACCATCAAAATATGATGTAGTAAATGCAATAATATAAAGAAAACAAGGTATAATGTAATACATCGGGTGAAGAAAGCAAACTTGAAGGAAATTATTCATTCTGCTTCAGTTGATTTTTCTTATTTTAAAAGATCTGGGTATTTGTAGTCAGAAAAAAAGATTTAAAAAGATAATTAAAGAAAAACACAAAGAGCACTATGTTAACTCTAAACACAATAGAAGACATCTTAATACCCTCATTGAAACAGTATTTTTAAACCATGTTTTGGGGTTTTGAAACAGAATACCCTCTAATTTGCTTAAGACTGACTACCATATTGATATCTTTATTGTAAATCTGTCTATTTAAAGCAGAGCTTCTCAGACTTTAGTGTCTATCAGAATCACCTGGAGAGTTTGTTAAACTAGATTACCTGGCCCTATCCCAAGAGTGAGTAATTCTGTAAGTCTAGGGTAGGTCCAAATATTTACATTTCTAACAAGTTCCAAAGTGACATCCCCATGCTTTTAGTCCAGGGACTGCACTTTGAGAACTGATCTATCCGAACTCAAAAAATTTTAATAGCTTCCTAATGTGAACCTTGTATGAGTGGTTTCCTAATTGTTTCAAATCTTATTACTGTCAGTATGTATCTGAGTTCCTATGGGCCAAGCACTGTATTCACTTCTTCACAGAGGTGAAGATATGGAACCTCCCTCAAGGAGCTCAATGTAATAGGATCAACAGTGGTAGTATTATAGCACTAAAAGTAACCACTGTCATGTATCGAGTGCTCAGTGTGCCAAGTATTATTTAAACTCATTTAATCCTTACAGGAGTTTTATGAATTAGGGCATAATAATCTTTATTTTAGATGAAAAAACAGGTCTAGAAAGGTTAGTTTCCCAGAATTCACACAGTGAATATATGGAAGAGCCAGAATTTGCTATTATGCTTTCTTGCCTTATTTTAAAAGTTTGTGAAGATTGGTGGACCACAGGAGGGATGGACTAATTGGCTCTACCTTAGGAAATGAGACAGCATCACAGAAGAGATGACACTGGAACATCTTATTAAGGAATGAGTGAAAGATAGCCAGATGAATTGGGACTATGAGCACTTCCAGCTGAGGGAGTAGTTTCTGCAAAGCTAGGGAAACCTGAGAGAACATATGTTCCACAGACTGTAAATAGAAGACCATAACACAATAGGCCAGATGGAGTATAAGAGGAAAAGAGACCATATAAAGCAGAGATCAAGGTCATGAAGAATTTTGTATACCAGGTTAAGAAGTTTTTAAGATAGAATTAGTTCTTTGTATTCTTTCTTCTTTCATCTCTGTAAGCCAGTGGTTCTCAAAGCATGGTCAGACAGCAGAATTAGCATCATCTGGGAACTTGTTAGATATGCACATTCCTGGATCCCCCCCCCCATACCTACTGATAAGAAACTCCGAGATGGAGCCCAGCAACCTGTGTTTTAACAAGACCATAACAGTCTTCAAAATAGTCACATGTCACTATAGTGATAGTAATTGTTTTTTTACTTAATCCCCAATGTGATAGTAACTATAGTATTAGTAATTAGCTCTGTAACTGATTTAATTCTGTAGAGTACAGTACTCAACAAAGTTGAAATATTAATGCCTTTTAAGGGATACATATCTTCAGCATGATCCATTTATACCTTGAAAACCTGTTTCCTCTATTGCCATAAAAGAGGTCTGAGTCAGGACAAGAGTTTGTTAAATCAGCATTCAAAAAATAGCATGCTAATTATTCTTCCTTAGCTACGGGAATGATTTGGAAACTTGCTTACTGATTTTAATTATCTAAAAGAAACAGTAAACCCTTTTAAGGTTTTTTTTCCCCAACTGTTTGCTAATATATAAAACTGGTATATAAAAGTTAGCATTTAAGGTGTTTTATTTAAACCAAGTGAGTTGAAGGAATCAAATGTGTTTGTCATGAAATGACTTAAAGTAATTAAATCTTTCCTTGCCATAGAAATAGAAACAGGGTATAATCAAAGATTCTCAAGCAAATTCGAAATGCCTGTCATTTTTTTTTTTTTTTTTTACCAAAATGTGTTCAGTATTTGTGGTGAATATATCTACATAGTATCTGACACTGAACTTTACACTAAAGCCTTATGGTTTATGTAGTGGTTCTATAGTTTATAATTACATATAGTCATACTTTACACAACTTTGTAAGCATTTAAAGCCCAACATATATGAAGTATTTATTAATGATTTATATATCCTTTGCAGTTTATTAGATAGACAGAGACCCTTTTCATCTTAGAAATAGTAGCAGCAAGAAGTGAAGTAGTATGGTGTAATTAATGTTGGTTAATGCTCAAATAAACAGACTTAATGTTTTCCGTGTAATGATGCAGGGTTTCAGGGATTTAGAAGTGGAAAGTCTGTTGAGACACTGATACCAACCCCTTCATTTTACAGATGGGGAAACTGAGTTAAATAGGTGATTTGGTGATGTCACACAGATAGTAGCAGAGCCAGGATTATAACCAAGTCTACTTGGAGTACAATGTAAAAGGCAAACTACATAGGACAGGTTATATCTGATATATCCAATCAGATATATCATAAAATAGTCTTCAGTACCAGAATCTTACCAGGTGCAGTATACTTTATGAAGATTATTAACATTTTATATAAAAAATTCTTATAAAGACCTCTTTTTATATTGATTCAGTCAGCTCCAGTATCAGATGTTTCTTTACAAGAGCAATTTAAAAAACCTAGTATCTGTTTTTCAAAATTTACAAAAATACCAAGAAAAGGATATAGATTCTTGCTATTCTTACTACTTAAGTTAACACATGGGAGAACCATCAAAGAGGACAATTATTCAACCTTCTGTATAATTATCATACAACTGCTAAGATGATACTTGAACTTGGGATGTACTTACTGGCTAGACTACTTCCAATTATTTCCGGTAAAAACTGGTCCAAACCACATACCTTATTAGGTAGTTTTTGCCAGCAAGTAGCCTACAATCAAAGTATGTAGGTATGCCAGAATGTTGAGTTTCTTGTTAACCAACCCTGCCCAAAAGCCCTATGAATCATTTTTAGAGGCCAGTTCTAAAAATTTTAAAAACCAGATGTTAAAATATAAACATTACAAAGAAAAGTCATCATCTGAATTTTATGCAATAAGTAGAATTTCCACAGGAAAGGCAATTAGAATATACAGTTGGTTAATGAAGAAGTTTAAGAGATATGGAGAGGGCACTGCTCATTTAAAATATATCCTTTTAAGACCACTGAATTGAGAACTTCTGTATAAAGTCAGGAGTTGGTTTTAAAGTAGCATATGTATATCATAGGCAAATTAGTAATGTTGGAGCTACAAAGGATTTTTAGAAGTCATCAATTTACTGAGACCTTCATTTTAAAAACAAGCTGAATACTGAATTGTGAGAATAGACTGAAGATATTTTAAATTACTATATTTGGTTTTAAGTAAAACACAAATGTATTTTACATTATTTGAAGAATTGGAAGGGAAGTTAAATTTTTTTAGAATAATTTAATGAAATATTCTAATTTTTTCCAGTGCATCTGGGGGAGGTGTTGTAGCCATTGACAACAAAATAGAACAAGCAATGGTAAGTAAGTTTATGGTTCTTCCATTTCATAGATTGTTGGTTGTATGAAACACTTAGTTTTTCTGAATTCTAGAAAACAAAATTTTTTTAAACCAAAGATGACCAAAGTTTATTTTTTGATAATGAGATTTATTTGAAGATGCTAGAACATTGAGAACTTTTAGTCTAGAATGGAGTGAATATTTCTCCCATTTGACCATCCCACATTTCATGCATTACCATTGAAGGGGCATGGGGAGCATACATAATTAAATGTAGCATGTTCCCAAAATATTTCAATATTGAAAATAGTTTATAGACAAAAAGAGTATTGAAGTGAAAGCTTCAGCTGGAAATCTGATTCAAGTTTCTTATATAAGATATAAATAAGGACTGTTAGTCTTAAACTAAATCCTAAGATTTTAAAGTCAGAAATTACAAGTCAAGGTTGATCTGAGTGCAGTGATGTTTACGACTAATTGATCACAACCAGTTAAAAAATTCCTTTGTTCCTTCTCCACTCCCATTGCTTCACTTGACCAGACCAGTAAAAAAAACAACAATAATAATAAAAAAAAGAAATTGCAAGTCACTTGAAAGTAGTACTATGACTAGTTTAACGTCAGACAACTTTCCATTGGAATATTACGTCTTTGTTCTCTTGATCTAACATCTAAGCATGTGATTTTAATTTTTTTTTTTTTAAATTCTAAGCTTATAACTGACAATGTGAGGAGCTAATATTTTTAGAAATTCCACACTCTGAAAAGAAAATCATGGCCTTGCTCCTCTAGTTGGGAACTGGATTTCTTTCATCCCATCTCTCTTAGGCTCGGTCAAGATATAGCAGAAACATTGAAAAGCAAGAGCAGGAAAATTAATACACTTTGTGTTTATAAGGCACCAAGTAGGCCAGAACCAAATAGCTCCAGCTTTCCCTTTCACTCTTTTTTTTGACATTGCTAATTTTGTTTTTCACAGGATCTGGTGAAAAGCCATTTGATGTATGCAGTAAGAGAAGAAGTGGAAGTTTTAAAGGAACAAATAAAAGAATTAGTTGAAAGAAACTCTTTACTTGAACGAGAAAATGCACTCTTAAAATCTCTTTCAAACAATGATCAATTATCCCAACTCCCGGCCCAACAGGCCAATCCCAGTAGCACTTCTCAACAGCAAGCAGTGATAGCACAGCCTCCGCAGCCAACGCAACCTCCACAGCAGCCGAATGTCTCCTCAGCATAAAGCTTTCTTAAGCCTCATTAAGAAAAAAACTGAAAGCAATCTATCCTTGTGTGCCACTGGTGTTCTTTCCACTTTATACGAAAGCAAGTAGCCATGCTTTGGTTGTGTGTTTGGCCTTTTCAGTATTAGACAATCATTCTACAAGAGCTTTTCTTCTTTCTGAGATGTCATGCAGCATTGTTGATGTCCAGTTCTATGTCATCAGGACACAAGGAGAATAAGAGATGGGGTTTATTAAAGCGAGCAAAGTCTGCATTTTACCTGGTGCGCATGAGTGGGGTCTTTAAGAGTTTTGGTGGCTCTCCCACGTTTCTTATTACCCATGGATTTACCCTGAGCCTTCCTATCACATTATAAATAATAGTTCATCTAAAGAGCCACTTTTCTTTTAATATCAGTAACATTTGCCTATATAAGTTTTCATTTATTTGTGTTTTATTTATTACAGGGCTGCTATTTTCATAATGTACATGAACAATGTCACAGAACTTTTTTAATTTTTTTGAATAATTATCAGTAAAGGAATTGAAAGACAGGATTGCATTTAATAGATAAAACGTTTAGGCAATAATTGAACAAAAGAATCCTGGCATATTTCTAACACTAATGGCAATTTACCTTTGGTATTTATTTTCAGTAGTAAAGACCCAGCTTGAATGTAAATTTTGTATAGTGTAAGTATGAAGAACATAGTGCAACTGTACAGGTAGTCACCAGTTATTGTGATATAATAAATAATTGGGCTATTTTGATGAAGAAAACTTTGTTCATTTGTTTCTACTTTCTAATAGAGAAATTGCCACGATTCCTCTGCTTTTCAACATTTCGTATGACTTTTTTTTTTTTTTTCGGGTGGGAATAAAAAGCTGTGAAATTGTTCAACCTACTTTGTAACCAAAGAAGCAAAGCTGTGTAATGGAGTTTTTTTTTTTTTATAATGCACATTCTTTATGTATTTTTATTTAGTGTTTTCTTGGTCACAATTTTCTTTGCTGTCTAGCATGATCTGCATGACCTATAATCTTTGAACCACTTTCGTACCTCATGTTTTTAATCCAGCACTCTTATTGTAATATGTACTAGTCTGTGAACAATGTCAAATAAAGAACGAACAGGTAGTATGGTGGAGCTGAGCTAGTGTACAATACACTAGTTGTAAAAAAAAAAAAAAAAAAAATGAAGTGAGCCATCTTTTGTTCATTTAAAATGGTGTTTTGAATTTCGTATGCAGAAAACGTTTTGTTACATTGCAGATTTTAATGTATTTAATAAATGCAACATGCAGATTAAGTGCAGTGTATACTGAGTATTTAAATTAAAATGTACATTTCATAAATACAGTTTCAAGAGAAAGCATCATTTTGTGTATACTAACACGTTAAGTGTATGTCAGAAATTGATGTATAAATATATATTTTAACACATTTTCTGAAATTAAACTGCAGTTTTGTTGAAATGTTTGGCTCTATATGTGTTCAAAATTTGACTAGATTGTATTTTCACAGTTCAAAATATTCCTTAAATGGAAACCTATGTTATTAATGATTTAATGATAGTTCTTAAATTTTCAAAGTAAAATAATTTAAAGAATGCAAAAATAATGAGCAATATTTGTATTCAATATTTATCTTATGTTAATGATACTTAAATAGGAAATCCTTGTCTACCAAAACTTTTACTTGAATTCAGAAAGGTGCCTGTAGAAATTAACAGGTGCTGTTTCTGTAGCCAGCTAATTAATCAGGAGTTAATGAGAACCATTAGTTAGTTCTCCATGTTAAAGAGGATAAATGTTCTTTATTTGAAACAAAAACTTAATCAGATTAGCCACAAATAAGCATAAATGTACATGGGCTTACCAAATAGTTTATATTCTGGTTGTGCTGCAGGATATATTGTTCAGTGAACAAAATTTTAATATTAAAAACATTAGAAATAAAGGAACTGAAGTACACAGGCTTGAGTAAACCCTCAGGATGTGGAGCAAGATTCTTAGAGCCACCACAGGTGAGACAGAATGTGCAACTTCGCTGTTGGAATGTTAACCAAAAGGTTTGCTGGATGTGCCCCCTCCAGTGCTAATAGTGTTAATACAGGCAGGAAAAAACGAGTATTAGAAAATGGTTGGAATTTTTGTGAAACTAGATAAATTTTTGGTTCTGGGGACAGAACAACAATTTATAAACATAAAGTAATAGTACTGTCCAAGGAAATGAATAATATGTTTAAGTTTAAAATGGTAACTAATAGCAATTATTACTGCTTTTACATTTTAAAAAACAATAGAAAAAACGAATAGTTCAAAAAAAGGGCAGTTTCTCAAGGTTCAACCTCTAGTAACCTAAGACATGCAAATCAATATTTGTAAGGAATTGTTGTAAGTGTCTTTTAAATAGCAGGACTTAGAAAGGCAAGCTTTCCTGTGTATTTCTAGAAAGTAATTTGGCAATATATATCCAGAGCCTTAAATATTACGAAGCTTTTCAGTGCAGTGACATGAGAAGATAGTCAACTCATGGTGCAATGTTCAAAAATGCAAAATTATTGTAGTGCCTGCCCTCTGCTCTCCCATCATCCCCCTCTTCCCTCAGAACCCAAACTGTGCCCCTGACCACCACAAAAATAAAGCTGTGAAAGGAAGCCTTTACATCCAAACCTACTCCCATGAGGTGCACCCACATTCCTAAGTCAGGAGCAAACTTAAGGGAGGGAAAGCTGTTAAACTTTTCAGCCTCAGATAATATTGTATTTGGAAATATCAAGCATTCCCCCAGTTGATTGTTTAGAATCTTAAGTAACTTTCAGTTTAACCTTGGAGACTTTGGGTCTCCTGCTCCAAATATTAATGGAATAATAACTGAACTCCCAATTTGGGGGCACAGTCTTATAGGAATGCCATCTATCTTTAATTTTACTCAGAGCAATGCCCATTAGACCAAGGTGCCACCTAAGCTTTCCAGTTTAGCCAACCAGTAAATCGTAAGTAGAAATTTTTCTGATATGGTCGTTATCTACAATTCAAACCTAACTTGCCCCAGAGAAAATTTATTTTAGGTCCAATATGGTCTCACAGCTTGCCACAGCAAAAATAAATAAATAGTAAGGGGTAGGAGGCGTTAAATATAATTGTATGTTCAAAATGGCTAGATTTTTCCAATTCTATTTGTAATGTTCTAAGCTGAGTATTGAGATAAGAATGTTTTACAGTCAAGCCTCCAATGATTGGTCATCACAACTGCCATCATTCACAAGAGTTATCACAGGTTCGAGATTATATATTTCTAAATTCGAAAAACTATTAACTCCTGGACTTTTTTTTGAAGTGTCTTGAATGTAACCATAATACCTCTGTTCTTCATGGAAATTTATCTCTGAAGAACCAGAAACAAAATATTAGCTAATTTTCTGGAAACATTTTTAACACATTAACTGCCATGTGAGTTGTATTTAACTTATGCTAGTTTTGAGCCTGGGGCCTGGTGAAGCCTGTGTAACTCACACGTCTCTTTACCTTGGGAGCCACGTGAACTATTTTTCAAGTTGCATATAACTCGTACAGAAAACCACAAATTTTTCATTAAAGTAAAAAGGATCATTTTGTTTTTGAAGTTTTTATTCCATTTTCTTAATAAAACACTGTGGCCCCAAGGAAAAAATTTTTTTTCTAGTGTGGCAGTCAAGGTGTTAAGATGATTCGAAGTCATTTTTAAAGAAAGCTTTATAGTTCAGTGGCTGGCACGTTGTGATGTGATTCAATTCTCTTCAATAATCCTGTTAAAAGGACAAAACCCAGCCCTCAAATTCACAATTTATGGATGTGAGGGCGATCTGGCTGCGACATCTGTCCTACCCCATTGATCGCCAGGGTTGATTCGGCTTGTCTGGCTGGCTAGGCGGGTGCCCCCTTCCTCCCTCACCGCTCCATGTGCGTCCTTCTGAAGCTGTGCTTGGTTGAAGAGGACAACCTTACCCCCATAGAGGACCGTTCTTCAGTCAAGAGTATACGAGTAGCTGTACTACCCTGCTAGAACCTCCAAACAAGCTCTCTCAAGAGTCACAGTTTAGTTGAGGCTATAGACAAACTATAAAATGCAATAAGAAACCTTTTTATGAACAGTCAAGGATGGCTTTGTCGGGGTAGGTTTCCTCAGAGGTGACACCTGAGTCTTGAAGGTTACAACAAGAGTTAGCCAAGGGAAGGACATTCCAGGCACAAGAAAACAGTGCTCAAAGACTTAAAGGAGGGCATAAACAAGGTTGCTAGGGTAGCCGCAGAATTTCACTGGACACAGGCAGGCAATGACTGTCCCACTTACCTTAGTAGTTGGCATTTAGTCAGAAAACAGGAATGATTTGTTGAATAATATTAAGCGGTGGGGTATTGTGCTCAAATTGTGCTGGATATTGTGCACAATTCCCGTGGCAGATGGAAGATTGATTAGGGTGGCTGAAACTGAAAGCTGAGAAATAATTTATGAGGGACAACAATAATCCAAAAAATAAATGATGGAAAGGCAAAGTAACATAGGCAATTTTTTGAAGCTCATGAAGAAGGTTGTCTTGGGTCTTTCTGTACCATTTCCCCCTCCACAATGAACATTCCATTTCCAACATCAGGTGCCCTGTTTTCTCCCCTCCACCCCAGGAAAGATCAAAGAGCCCCAACTAATACCTGAAAGTTTGGGTCATTTTCTTTCAACAGTCATATATATCTCTATGAAATGAAAGTCTTTGTTTCCTACTAAAGGAATTTCAAGAATTTAACAAAAGTGTGGGGGGAATAGAGGAGCCTTTGCTGTCACTTTCTGCCTCTGTATCAATTCAGCTCTAAAGGTAAACTAATCCTTTTATGGTGACTAGATTAACATGATTCCAAAGCCTTTCCCTAAAAACTATCCCTTGCTCGCTGGAAAGGATCATACGGATTCTGGCCCTATGGCAGGTACTGAAAGCCCAAGTCAGAATAGTTTTGCTAGGCATTAGCCTTCCATTCTGTGACATAGGTCAATCCAGCAGGCTTCTTTTCTTCTCTAAGTCCCTTGCCTATGCAAAACTGGATCATTTCTCCCACCTCCATCTGCCTCAAGCCTCCTAATAATTTATATTTCTTCCTAGCAATACTAATAGTTTATAACTTAGTGATGTATATTTGCACTTTACCCCTTTTCATCATTCCAGAATACATCCCTGCCTCATATATTTCTATACAGGATTTCTATAGCGAGATCTCTTTAAATACGTGGATTCCCTTTGTAGGTGGAAGGATTACTGACTAATACAGTGTTATTTTAATTATTTCCTTTGTGGGGTACGATTGGTATGACACGCTGTGTTCACAGATGAAAAATGCTTAGTGAAGAACTATACAAGGCAAGGTAAAGTTCACACTTTTTTTTTAAATGGAATCATCAAATAAGAAAAATGAGACAGACTTTCAGGACTGGCGATGCAAACTAAGAAGCTGGTATTTTGCACTGGCACAGTCCACTTGGTCGTCGAGTTTCTTCAGCACACCTGCATGGTGAGTTAGCTTTATTCTTCCTTCTCTCCGGGGAAACTGATAGATTAAGGCAGTCTGGGGAATTTTCCCACCATCTATGTCATGGGACCAGAGTAAGTTTACAAACTAAAACATAGTCCACAGAAGCATATTATGCCTTTCAAGGAGGGAAGGAAAAGGTGTGCTAACTTAGATCATAAAAATAACTGAATTTTAAAATAGGGCAAATGCTGTGGTTCAACTTCGCCATAAAAAAAGTTGAGGTCGTTTTTCATTCTTTTGCATGCCTGTGATACTTCCATATAACAACTGTAAATTCCTGTTGCCTGCTGCAATCCAAAATGTTTTTCAGATCACAGTTCTTGCCATCATTTCACAGGCAAGCAGTATATCTATAGATAAATCATATCTGAGGAAGTCCGCAGGGAACATTTTCCCCACTCTTGGGATTGAAATAATATCAGGTCAGTGTCTAATTCTAGTTTTCTTTCTAAAAAGTAATAAATACATATTTCATTTGATCAGGTGGCAGACTTACATGGACAGAAAAAGGTAAATACATGTAACTTTGTAAAGTCACAAAAGTGAAGTTTACAAGAAATTTGAGTTTTATTTTTTATTTTATAGAAACAATGTTGAAATGCAATTTAA